CATTGAAATCATATACAAAAACTGGTTGAATAGTGTAGAAAGAAACTAATAAAATGACATGCAAGTCACATTGATTTATTGTATTGAAAAAGAAATGTGAAACAGTGTGCCAAGAAGTTAGTTATGTAAAAAAAGCAATTCTTCCCTACGTTTTAACCTTCAAAGTTTGAGAACAACTAAACATACTACTAACTATTAGTAAGTAGCATAGTTTAAAAACTAGTATATTGTAAATGACAGTAGGTTTCGAAATTATACGAACTGATTATTAACTTTAGACCAAGATATTTCAACCAACCTTCTCTGTCTGTGGTCTTCCTTTCAAGTTTTACCCAATCACTTACCATTCTTTAAATGTCTGTTTCCCATTCTCACCACTATATGCTTTAGTCTACCACTTTTTTGGCATCGAGGATTCCAAGTGAGTGCTTGTCTTGTGATGTAGTCGGGTGAATTCCACAATGTGTATCATATCCACCTGATTTGCTCTCTCTCTCTCTCTCACAGTAAGTTGTTGCTGATGATGTCTGGCCAACGAATACGAAGTATTTTGTGCAGACAACTGTTAATAAACACTTGTATCTTCTGGATGATGGGTTTCGTAATTCTCCATGTTTCCGCCTCATACATTAGAACTTTCTTGACATTTGTATTAAAAACAGTGACTTTGGTGTTGGTTGACAGGTAGTTGTATAAATGCAGCCCTTACTTTTCCAATCCATGTCTTTATACCAACATCATATCCACTCCGTTTATCATCGATGCATCTTCCAGAGCTTCTCCGTCAAGCGTGATTTAGTTGGTGAATGCTGTGGTTTATTTAAGATCCTTATTCATTGCCTTGTTTATGTTGAGGTCTACAGATGTAGCGGCTGTTGTTACTTTTGCCGTCTTCTCCTTCACTTACTGCTGAGTGTGAGTGTTACGCCTGCACATAGGAACGTCATTTTGATATACTTGAATTATTACGAATTTACCTAGTCGGAAAACTAGAGCGACGATCAAGGATCCGGAGACACGACATGCTACTCTAATCCGATTAACCCGACTCCCATATTGAGTTCAATGAGAAGACTTGATATGAAGTAGAACGTTTATTCTACAAGCATCCAGAAAGTACGAGGTCCGAATCCAGAAGAGAATCAGGATCCCGGACTAGGGATCTAGGTCCAGGTTATAAAACGTTACACATAATGCGTATTTATACATTTTGGTCGAATAGGAAACAGCATCGAATTCTGTGATATTGACAGTTACGACGACCAATAGAAAGCAACACTTGAAGTGACATTGAAATTCAGGATGACCAATAAGAAACAACATTGGAGCATGTGACATTGATATCTCGGACGTCCATAAAATTGACCATTAGGAATTAACCAATAGGAATCGACTTATAATTCTCTTAGGATATTGGATGAATATCCTAACAGTGAGATAGAAAAGCTAGGTCGTTCGCAAGGTTCAAATCGTGTAACTTCACCCTAGTTGTCCACTGTATCACTTACTTCCCCTGAAGTGTTGACTTCTTCATATTCAGGTCAACTACTAGGAGAAAGACAAAGCATCAGGGTAAGCAACCTTGTAATTGGAAATGAGTCTGTGAGCTATTCTCCATGCACATTTATTACTTCAAGGCGACAATTCACTGTATATCAAATGGATGCTACTCATAAGCCACGATTTAAGTAATACAGACTCATACACACCTAAAGTAATTGACAGAATGAGTGTTTCCAATTTTGATCTGCTTCATTCAACTTAAATGCTTTTCAACATAGTTAATTTGTCGAATTTAATTGTCAAATTTAATTAATTAATTAAATAAAACTTTATTGAATTAATTAAATAAAGTAACCAGTGAAATTTTTGTAAAAATCAAATTTTCGATGCCATTTAATCACATTTGAATTGTTTTTTCTACTTTGTTTGCAAGTCACACAATAAAAAAAAGCAGAAAATGTCACATTTTCTTGGCTTTTTCATTTCAACCTATGATAAAATAATGTGTCTTGTCAAATAACAAAGAACAACCCTAAACATTTAGAAATAATAATAACGACACAAAATTTTAATATATCATGTGATGGTCATCAACTACAATAATTCATGCACATTTTGAGATGACCAGGGTGTATGTATATGATGAATGAATCAATGTCTGTCATTTAGGCTGAGCAACAACTTTTTATTGCTACTTTTTTATGAAGAAGAAAAAAACAGATAGAAATTATTATTTCGACAAAGCAAATAATTAAAACATGAGATTATCAATCAATGATTGCCAATTGAGGAGCAATTCATAGTATTGATGATTTCAATGATTTAATTGAAATAGAGTAAAATAGGTTTGATCATTTATGGTATACTTGCTTGCTTACTTACTTACTTACTTACTTACTTATGAACTTACTTACTTATGAACTTACTTACTTATGAAATTACGTACTTACTTACTCACTTACTTACTTATGAACTTACTTACTTACGTACTTACTTACTTACTTACTTACTTACTTACTTACTTACTTACTTACTTACTTACTTACTTACTTACTTACTTACTTACTTACTTACTTACTTACTTACTTACTTAATTACTTACTTACTTACTTACTTACTTACTTACTTACTTACTTACTTACTTACTTACTTACTTACTTACTTACTTACTTACTTACTTACTTACTTACTTACTTACTTACTTACTTACTTACTTACTTACTTACTTACTTACTTACTTACTTATTTGCTTCTTCACGTACTAACTTACCTACTTACGCTTGTTATCCTCAACCAAGCTTTGGCCGCCGACAACCATTCTCCAACCTACTCTGTGTCCTAGGCCTCCGTTTCTAGTTCTATCCGACTATTGTTCATTTTTCTTATGTTCACTTCCATTTCTCGGCGTAATGTGCTCGTTGGTCTTCCTCATTTTCTTTGACTTCGGGGGATCCAAGTTATTTTTTCTAGTTAACGTTTTTATTTAGCTAGTTAGTTTTCAACGGATGGCATAGTCCATGCATAAACCTCCACCTTTATCCAAACCTGAGGCTGACAGTAGCTTCAAAGGAGCTCCAGCTAAAGTTACTCATGGTATAATACTTAAATATAATCCTTATATAGAATAAACATAATGTGTCTTGCAGTGGAATTCAGAAGGAGCTTTTCGTCATATTTGTTAAGACTTATCAACTGGATGTGCATGCATTCCACTGTTAACCAAATTCTTGCTATTCTATGTAAACTTGTGTCATAATGGCTATTAGATCGAAGCAATATGCATAGGTTGGTTACATACCCAGTAAGATTGATTAAATTTTAGTTGAAAGCATGAACATTTGGATAATTCAAACCATTTGAAAATTAATGAAATATAATTTACTTTCAATAAAACTATGGTAATATCAATATAATGTGCTTCAAAATGTTGCAGCGATTGAATTTCAAACACACACACACTGGACTATAGTTTTTTTCAAAATGTTCATCTGATTAGGTTTGATTAGTTAGACGACATCATTAAACTTCTTACTGTTAGGATATTCATCCAATATCCAAAGAGAATTATTGGTCAAATCCTATTGGTTCATTCCTACTGGTCAATTTTATGATCGTCCTACATATCAATGTCACGTACTTCAAATGTTGTTTCTAATCGGTTGTCCTGACTATCAATGTCACTTCAAATGTTACTTCCTATTGGTCGTCTTAACTGTCAATGTCATAGACTTCGATGCTGTTTCCTATTTGACCTAAATGTATAAATACGCATTGTCTGTAACGTTTTATGACCACGACCAGGACCGGGGCTCCGTCCCGGATCCCTAGTCCGGGGTCCTGATTCTCTTCTGGATTCGGACCTCGTACTTTCTGGATGATTGTGGAACACAGGTTCTACTTCATATCACGTCTTCTTATTTTTTACTCAATATGGGGTTGGTTGGGATAGTCGGATTTGAGTAGCATGTCATGTCTCCGGATCATCGCTCTCGTTTTCTGACTAGGTAAACTCGTAATAGTTCAAGTATATCAAGTTGACGTGTTTACGTGCAGGCCTAACAAAGACTTCAATTAACAATCAACTCATTCGAATTATAGGTACTGTGTCCTGACTGAATTCAAACTCTACTTTGTTCTCAAATACGACTGAGCACTGTTGACAATTTAACTCTCACATTACTGATTTATCATTCACACTATTATTCTCTATCCATTGTTCTTGTATTCAATTCAATCAATCTGTAGCGTAATTTATACAAATTTATACAATTCGTCACAATCTACTATCCTATCCAAAAAAAGTAGTATTCTCATTAGTACAAGCTTTAAAGACAGAATCATCAGCAGATCAAGGCACACGTAAACACAAACACAACAACACGCACACTCACAAACACACATGTGTACAATTATTGCATACAAACATTTCCAGGTGCACTGCTGCTTTCTATACGCACACACGGATTCATGTGTTGATAACCATGATGTATATACACCACTGTGTGTATGTTGTACAGTTTGGCTCCTTTTCACTTTCCAACCCTGTTTCTTTAATCTCTAATATGCAGAACGAAACGAATAAAAGATCATTTTAAAAAAAAACCACGTGTTTCTTCATTTCATTTCTCCATTTACCTATCAAAAAATATGGAATTTTTTTTTCACAGATTTACAATTGTATAGCTAACTATATGTATATATATATAGATATATGTGTAAATGCTTCTTATAATCTTTATCACTCAAACACAAAGATCATCAAATTTAATCTCTCTTTGACATGTTTCATCTCATTTTGACTGGATAAATTTATTTTCGTTTTTTGAATGATTTTTCATATATCTTATTAACCTTCACGCTTATACACACGACTGTGCGGGAACATTGCCTCATTTAAACAAACCATACTGACAATTCATATTGAACATTGAAAATAGAAAAAAAAAGTGGATTTTATTCATTGATATAAGAAACTAAAAAAAACCCCCTATAAAATTATGAAATGTCACAATATTTTTCGTAGAAACCGACATACTACTACTAATACTACCAATACTACTAATAATCATACACGTGAAATCTATGCCAATGGTTTGATGAATTTGAATGGTGATAAATTTCGTCATAATTATTGTAATAACAGAATACGTTCAGCACGTTATACATGGTATAATTTTTTATTTAAAAATTTATTTGAACAGTTTCACAACATAGCAAACATTTATTTCCTTCTGATTATCATGACCTATTTTTTTGTGGACAGTGTCGGTGATGTCTCAGTGACCATTATGCCATTATTGATCATTATCGGTATCACGATGATTAAAGATGGCCTTGAAGATATATTACGTCATCGTGCCGATAAACAAACCAATTCCATTGAATTCCCAGTGTTGAAAATTGATTTCACACAGAAAACCATTTATTGGATAACGAAGAAAGCTGCTGCTTTATCAGTTGGGGATGTAATCTATTGTCATAGTAATCAATCATTTCCATGTGATATACTGCTGTTGACGACATCGAATCCCAGCGGACAAGCATGTGTTACCACAGCGAATTTAGACGGTGAAAGTAATATTAAAAAATATCATGCTTTAACACAATTCCAATCGATTTATTCACAATTCACAACGAATGAATGTATTCAACGTAAATTGAACAAGTTCAATTTTCAATTGATTATGGAACAAATGTATTTACAAGTCAACTGTCAACAACCAACAGAAAATTTCACTACATTTGAAGGTTATTATTATACATTTCCTAATTTAAATAAACAAATTTATTTACCATTAAATTTTACAAATTTATTATTACGTGGTACAAAATTAATTTCTACAGAATTTATTATCGGGTTAGTAATTTATACAGGGGATGATACAAAATTATCATTGAATAGTAAAAATGCACGACGTAAATATAGTACACGTGAACGATTATCAAATATTATTTTATTAATATTTATGGCATCTATGCTATGTGTCACTGTGTTCATGGCAATTATATCCACTCTATGGATTAAAACAAATTCTATCAATATATGGTATGTTACATTTGAAACACTGACAGCATGGCAATTTGTACGTAGTGTATTTCGTTTCTTATTTATCATTAATTATTTAATACCAATATCAATTATTGTTACAATTGAATTTCAACAATTACTCTTAGCATTTTTTATAACAAACGATGCACGAATGTATGATTCTAAGGAGAATTTATTAAGTCGAGCGAATAATGCACAATTAGCTGATGAATTAGGACAAATCGAATTTTTATTTAGTGATAAAACTGGGACATTAACACAAAATTTAATGATTTTACGTTCGTGTTGTTTATTGAACAATGAACAAATGTATACATGTGACATTGAACATGATCAGCCGCAACAACAAGAACACGCGAATGACGAGGATACAACGATGACGACATCGAATCATATGCAAGAAAATATTCATTCATTCTCATCGTCACTGAATGCTAATCACGGGAAATTTGTTAAATTACCAGATATGAGTAAAGAGTTTCGTGAATTTTTAACAATTTTCGCATTATGTCATACAGTTGATTTGAAAAGTAATATTGAATTGAATAAAACTATGCCAATTGATCATCATAGTGATTATGACAATGAAGATGGCGATCATGATGATGATGATGGTGAAGATGTGAATACAACAGTTGGTAATAATAATAATAATAATAATAATAATAATAATAATCAGTATGGTAATGACCAAGTATCAGAAACAACATCAAGTTCATATGTACCGGTGAGATTTTATGAATATGAAGTAAGTTTCTTGAATGTTTTATGTTGATAGTTTGAACACACTTCTTATGATGTAATTAATATCATAATTATTTGAAGTTGATTTATCCAGAGGTAACGTGTACTACCACTTTCCCCAAGTTGAACTAGTGACTGGAACTCTTGTTAGTGCCACTACTAACAGTACATTTGTCTTTATAATATTATCAGGATGCAAGACTTGGCCGTTAAGAGTAGAGGACTTCCGTAGGTTACTAATATTCAATCACAGATGTTTAAGAAGCATTGCTCGAGTATCGTGGGACAACCGAGTAAGCAATGCTGTCGTTAGGAAACGGGTGCTAGGTAAGAATGGCAGATCAATAGATGAAGTGCTGAAACTTCATCAGTTGAGGATGTTGGAACATGTGTTACGAATGCCTAACCACCGACTGCGTCGACGAGCCATGTTTTGCAGTGTAGGAGTAGATTGGAAGAAAGCTAGGGGCGGCCAAACAGAAACATGGCACAAATGCATGAAGTCACTGACAATAAGTGGACTGAGTCATGTTGGTAGATGTAGGCTATCTGGTTGGGGTCCGAGAGACGATAGTCACCAATGGTTAGAGACCTTGAATGACATGGCTCAGAATCGTTTACAATAGCGCAAGTGCATCCACTCGTTGTGTTCTCTCAAATTCTAACCTGAATTCCTCATAATCTCTCTCCTTCTAAAGTTATCTCACTGAATTATACTTCTTGAATCATATCTTCGCTCCCTAATCTTCTGCATTTCTGCTAATACTTCTATTATTGCTATCACTCTTCGATTTGAACTGACAGTTGCGTCTGTGTGCTGATGTGGTAATGGCAACCTGAACTGATGTACTTACGTACGAATTTCTGCGTTGTATCTGTCTGTCTGTCTTTCATATTATCAACGTGTACTGTTACTTATTACGTGTAGTTATTACATAATCTCTCTTTATTTCATTGTGATTATTCACTCATAATAAATCTTTTTTTCAATTAGATTTATGAAGATCAGTGTTTTTACACATTGAAATAATCAATCAGTCATTGTTAGACTGCAATTAGAAACCTGGATTTTTAATGTGTAAAAATACACTGATCTTCATAACTTTAATTGAAGAAATCGTACCATGTGCTCACTAATGATTAGTTTCTTGGGAAAATTCTCGGAGTTATGAGTGAGAAGATGTGACCGGTGGAGCACAGCTCTATCGGGTGTAGGCAGTAACTGCCGAAGACAAATAAGTGAGGTCACGTTGGATGACGATCCAGAGGTTAGGCGTTCGCGCGCAACACCGAAGTTCCTGGTCCCGAACCCTGCGAGTAGCAGGAGTTTCTCTAACAGTGAGTAACAGTAATCGAACAATGCTATCAAGGGTTCTGGAATATGTGCCTAAAATGACTTTAAAATCAGTTCATATCAACCGACCTAGAAAACGTGAGTAGTAGGAAACTATGTTCATCAATAACAAAGCATCTAATCGAAATAGGGCATATAGGATTGACATTAAGGCAGCTTTTAATGTACGGTATAGAAATGTTCAAAGATCAAATCTGAGGTTTATAGAAGCCTTGTCTATTTATAAATTAAATGAACGGTTTGTTATAACCTTGAATTTACCGTGGTAATCTTCGATCCGTGAGTACTGGAGTTCAACCCTGTCAAGTGTAGGCAGTAACTCTCGAAGACAATTGGTAAGGTTGTGCAAAATCCTTAGACTGATCAGAGTTAGACAATAACTCCGATGGATGTCAGCCTAGTGGTGGTCCAGAGGTTGGGCGTTCGTGCACAAGCCCGAAAGTCCCTGGTTTCATATCTTGTGAGTAGCAGGAGTCTTGAATGCACACTGCTACTAAGTAGTCCCATACTATGACGAAACGGTCTTCCAGTGCTTTCAGGTTTACAATCGTAGTCAAAAATAGGTAAATCTTTAAGCCATTTTATGATCTAGGGTGATGTGACAATTTCATATTTTTTCTCCTTCCCTTTTTATTTACGATGATCACCTTAT